CACGTCATCATTTACCCAGAATGCTTTGTGTGTAAATAAAATGGCTCCGTCCATGTTAAAATATTTTTAAAAAAATTACAAAACTGAACAGCCCACAGTATATTTACAGTCTTTATTTTACAGTTAAAATATATGTTTATCAAATAAAGTTTAATTTTACAACTAATCGTGGATCCCATTAAGTCTAAAAATCCACTCTAAGAAGTTTTATAAATACGGGCCCTGTTCTGGGTGTACCCTGGCTCTTGCACAGGAACTCTGTGACACGGGGCATCCTGTGACCTGGAAGGGAAGAAGCAGACGATGATTGATGGAAGGCAACACTGGACAGTGAATCCATTTCTGTTTTATTCTGTTGCTTCTTGTCAAGAAGAAACTGAAACTGAGTTTGTACAACTAAAAGAAACAACACTAGCTTAAAGTCTAAAATAGAACAGCTAAAAGTGACAAACTGCTCAAGCAGCTAAAATTAGGAGAAAATAGCTTAAAAAATAGCTAAAAATGCTTCAGAGTCATCACAAAGTTAGCACAAAGATGGAGAAAAAGCATATTTACTGAAGGAGTGAGAGTACGAAGCTTACATTATCACAAAAAGATGAATTTTGATGAAAAACATCTGAAATAGCTATAAAGTAACTAAAAAAGCAAAAATCAGCTAAAAGAGGCACAAAAAGCTTAAAATAGCTGAAAGAAGCTGAGAGAAACCTGAAAAGCTTAAATTAACAGAAAAATAGTTGAACTGAGCAAAAAAAGATGGCTGAAAAGTTAGAAGAAAAAACTAAAATTAGTCCAAAGAAGCAGAATGATGAAAAGTACAGCAAAGATTTATGAACAATTTCAAAGATTTTAAGTATTTTGAAGATAACTCCTTTTGTTTTAATTGAGAAAAAATAGACAAATCTAAATAGTTACTTTATTAATTTCTTAAAAACACATGTAGTAAAAATCAAATACAACTAGACATGGGTTTTTACAATGTAAAAACAAGTGTGCATTGCCACATAGCATGTCATTGCAGCATAGCTTTGCCTGCTGCATTGGACCTGCAGAATGAACTTTGACCAAGTTCAAATGTGTTTTCTAAACCAGCTAGTGCCTGTCACGTCAGCAGGTTAGAATTAAGGTAATTATGTGACAATATGAAGTTTGAAGAGATTTTTTGTAAAAGTTGCATTAGCTGTTTTTGAACCCTGATCTCCAACATGAAACTCCATGACATAGACCATTAGACCAATGGAGTTGTGGCAGAAAGTGGCAACGGGTTGGTTTGTATGTGTGCAGAAAGAGGCCACATTGCCAATACAATTACTGACACTAAACTGCATAATATTACAACAATAGAGCAGTATTAAGACAATTTTATAGTAAAGCATGAGAATAAAATCATATTTTTTATTGTAAACACTGAACCATTGAGTGTAATGGTGTGACAATATAATCTGAAAATATGTGGTTTAAATGAAAGTGTTCATAGCTGGGATTGAACCCTGAGCTCCCTCATGACAGCCCATGGCGTAGACCATTAGACTGTTAGAGCTGTGGCAGAGTGTGGTGCCAGGGGTTGGTTTGTATGTGTGTAGAAAGAGGCCAAATTGCCAAAACAATTATTGACACTAAACTGCATAATATGACAACAATAGAGCAGTATTAAGACAAATGAATAGTAAAACATGAGAGTACAATCATATTAATAGTGTAAACACTGAAGCATTGAGGTAAAAATATAAAAAAAAACTATGGTGCAATTCCAAGTTGAGTACAGCTGGGGCCAGTATTGGACCATTACAAGGCCCCATTTACTCCCATTATATGAATTTGGAATAAAGTTAAAACATTAATATTTCAAAAACTACAAGTTGTACAGGTACCAAAAGGCATAGCAATCATTTGGCATATGACCTTTACAGATAGAAATTACAATAGCAGCTGCTGCATAATATTACAACAATAGAGCAGTATTAAGACAATGATATAGTAAAACATCCAAATACAATCATATTTAGTTATTTACCAAAAGGCAAAGCAATCATTTGGCACAGGACCTGTACAGATAGAAAATACAATGGCAGCTGTAGGACAATGTATGCAGGAGCATTCGACTTGCAGAATGAACTTTGACCAAGTTCAAATATGTTTTCTATACCAACTTGTGCCTGCCACGTCAGCAGGTGTTTGTAATTAAGGTAATTGTGTGACAATATGAAGATTTAAGAGAATTTTGTTAAAGTAGTGTTAGCTGGGTTTTGAACCCTGATCTCCCACATGAAAGGCCATGACATAGACCATTAGACTGTTGGAGCTGTGGCAGACTGTGGTGCCAGGGGTTGGTTTGTATGTGTGCAGAAGGAGGCCACATTGCCAATATAATTATTGACACTAAACTGCATAGTATTACAACAATAGAGCAGTATTAAGACAATATTATAGTAAAACATTATAATACAATTATATTAGTACTGTAAACACTGAACTATTGAGATTAAATATTATTAAAGTATGGAGCAGTACCAAGTTGAGTCCAGCATGGGGCAGTATTGGACCATTACAAGGCCCCATTGACTCCCATTTTATGAATTTTGGAATAAAGTTTAAACATTAATATTTCAAAAACTACAAGTTGTACAGGTACCAAAAGGCATAGCAATCATTTGGCACAGGACCTTTACAGATAGAAATTACAATGGCAGGTGTAGGACAATGTAGGCAGGAGCATTGGACTTTCAGAATGAACTTTGACCAAGTTCAAATATGTTTTCTATACTAGCTTGTGCCTGTCACGTCAGCAGGTGTTTGTAATTAAGGTAATTGTGTGACAATATGAAGTTTGAAGAGATTTTTGTTAAAATTGCAGTAGCTGGATTTGAACTCTGATCTCCCACATGAAAGCCCACAGTGCTCATCATGAGACTATAGATGTGGCAGAGGACAATCCCAGGGATTGGATTGTATGTATACAGAAAAAGTTTACCTTGCCAATGCAATTATTGACACTTAAGTGCAATATATTACAGCAAAAGGACAACATAAAGATAGTATTACAGTAAAACATTAAAATACAATCATATTAATATTGTAATCACTGAACTACTGAGTTTAAATATTATGAAACTATGGTGCAGTACCATATTGTGTAGAGGCAGCAGAGGGCAGTATTGGACCAATACAAGGCTCCATTGACTGCCATTATAGTTTATGAAACATTTAATATTTCAAAAACTATAAGTTTTACAGGCACCAAAAGGCATAGCCATCATTTGGCACAGGGATTTTACAGATATAAATTACAATGGCATCTCTAGGACAAAGTATGTAGGAGGAGAAGCATGGCAAAGTTGTGCCACACAGGTTCAATATGAACATTTTTCTCTGGAGACAGACATTAAACTGGGCCGTAAAGGACAAAAGACGGGACCTTTTAGTGTGGAACAACAGGCTTTTAGGACTTAAATGTGGGCTCATTAAACACTGAACTTCATGCCCTGTTGAAATGTTACTATTTAACTTAAACATTTTAGAAATTTTTGGGTGTCATTGTTGATGAAAACCTGATACGGAGAGCTCATAAATCATTTAAGAACAAAAATAGCCAAATCCATTGCAGTATTGTACCAAGTAAAGAACTTATTCAGTGATGTCATTGCCCTTTGGTCCATGATGTCCAGCCATCATGGACAACCCCCACCACCCTCTGCATAAAACTGGGGGGGCTGAGCAGCTCCTTCAGTCAGAGACTTAAACATCCTCGCTGCAGGACGGAGCGCTTCTGTAGGTCATTCATTCCAACTGCAGTTAGACTGTATAACACATCATGATGTTATCAGTCACTTGGACAATTCACCTACACTGCAAATCACTAATATGCACCTTCATATACATTCATTTATGTACTGTACAAGGTATATGTACATTGTAATATATCACAAGTATAGTGTTTTTTTTTCTTTTACTTATCTTTCTTTATTCTATCTCACCCTGTCCTGTTTTGAGCTGCTGTAATGTGCAAATTTCCCCACTGTGGGATCAATAAAGTTTTATCTTATCTTATCTGATCTTATCTGATCTGATCTTATCTTATCTGATCTTATCTTATCTTAAAGTCCAACATTGATGTTGTTGTCTAAAGTCCAACATTGATGTTGTTGTCTAAAGTCCAACATTGATGTTGTTTAAAGTCCAAC